ATTTTACCTATCTTTTCCAAGTACCGTTTTTAATCATCTGGGAGAAGTTTGTCACAATATAGTCCACTTTGTTTTGAGCTGCTTTTCAGCGTTATGAAGGAGGATACAGCGGTGACACCACAGACAAACACCAGAGTTTTTTTTTTTTTCTGAGTGCTGTAAACATGGCAGTCGAGACGGGAATGCCCCGCCCCCAACGCAGTGACGTATGTTCCAAAGCTCTATTCAATTTGCTGTATTTTATGTATGCTGAGGTAACTATGGCAGCCATCTTGAATCAAAATGGCTCCAAACATTTATCAGCTGTAGAAATTAGACTGATGATTACTTTCTGCGAGTTTCAAACAAATCCAACAATGAGTTTCTATTTTGTAGTTCAATATCTCAAAGAATGACCAAGTTATAGTCAATTTTGTGTTTGCTGAGGTAGCTATGGCAGCCATCTTGAATCAAAATGGCTCCAAATGTTAATCAGATCTAAAGATACGTCTGATAATTACTTTCTGCAAGTTTCAAACAAATCCAACAACGAGTTTCTGTTTTGTAGTTCAATAACTCAGAATGACCGAGTTATAGTCAATTTTGTGTTTGCTGAGGAAGCTATGGCAGCCATCTTGAATCAAAATGGCTCCAAACGTTAATCAGCGCTAAATATACGTCTGATGATTACTTTCTGCGAGTTTCAAACAAATCCAACAACGAGTTTCTGTTTTGTAGTTCAATAACTCAGAATGGCCGAGTTATAGTCAATTTTGTGTTTGCTGAGGAAGCTATGGCAGCCATCTTGAATCAAAATGGCCGCTTCACCTAACTTGCATGTTGAATCAAAATGGCAGCTTCACCTAACTTGCATGTTGAATCAAAATGGCTGCTTAACCTACTTTGCATGTTTAACTAAAACGGCTTTGCAAGGTAATGCTCTGCCTTGCATTTTGAACCAAAATGGCTCCCAGTGTTCTTCAGTCTCTATGAAAAGTTTTCTCCCATTCATTTCCTATGGGAAATTTGGCATTTTTGTTGGCAAAATATGTCGCCATGGTAACTCCAATTGCCAATAAAAGTAATAGCACATATCTCGGAGCCGGGCCGGTCCACGTTGCGGTTCGGGCCGCATTAACGGAGACGGAATAATAATAAATAAATAAATTAGAAAGTTCCTGGAGAAACTTTGACGGGGACTGCCTATTTATGATTAAATTATTATTATTAATAAATATTAATAATTAATAATATTAATATATTGTCGATTTATTCATTATTATAAAATTAATAGTGATTTTTAATGTTATTATTTGTCATTATTAAAATGAATCATTAATAATTTAAGTTAATTATTAATTTTACTAATTAATAATAATAATAGGTGATAATAGGTGCCTTCCATGCCTGTTGAACCAAAATGGCTCCCGACATTACTCAGTTTCTTTGAAAAGCTTTCTCCTATTCATTTCCTATAGGAAATTTGTCATTTTCGTTAGCAAAATATGTCGCCATAGTAACGCCAATTGCCAATGAAAGTAATAGCACACATCTCGGAGCCGGTCCGGTCATTCGGATATAACTTTTGTGGGGGTCCACTTTGCAGTTTGGCCCGCATTAAAGTTGAAAAACATATGCATTTCAGGTGTAGAATAATAAGTGGGCAGTCACCAACTAGTTCCTGGAGTTGGTGAAATATTGCGTCTTTGTTCGCAAATTACTTCGCCATGGTAACTTGAAATGCCAGTAAAAGTAATAGCACACATCACAGGGCCGAGCCAGTCGTTTTGAGATAACTTTTGTGGGGGTAGACATTGTGGTTCAGGCCGCATTAACGGTGATAGAAATGTAGACACCCTTCCGAGGTGTAGAATAATAGGTGCCATCCCCAATAAAGAAACCCTTATTGGGTGTAGAATAATAGGTGGCTTCCATGCATTTGCATTGGAAGCTGTGCATTGCCTATGCAATGCAATGGCTGCCCCCAATATAAAATATCTAAAGAGAATAAAATGTGGACTAAAAAATGGGCACATCCAAGTGTATTAACAAGATTCAGTGGCAGTGATTCAGTCTTGAGATCTGAAAATAATGACAATAATATGAATGGTGCAGAAAAGTCTCAGACCAGAAAGCGTCACAAATCAAATGGGCAAACAAATCTGACGAGGTGGCCCAACTTCAGTTTGAGTTTGGCTGAGGGAGGCTCCAGCCCCCCTGCGAAGATGGATGGATGCTCCCATGAGAAACAGGATCTTGGTCCAGAATCCACAGGCAGAAACAGATAATTTGCAGCAAATAGCAGAACGAGCTGCCAGAAAATCCTCTTGAAATGAAAGGCATGGTCCTAGCTCGTTTCAGGCCAACAGGGGACAACAGCGTGATCCGGAATAAAAATAATTATTATTCAGGTGATTTTGGATGGAGGCCTGCAGCAACTCCAATGCAAACTCCAAACTTCTCTCGAGCACCACGCTCCTCTGATTCTCTGCACGTTACCTCTGCACCCCACAGCACGAGAGGCACCCCTGGTGAAAAATGGTGAGACTGACCGGAGAGGCTGAGGCTGAAGTTGTCACTGGTCCGGTCCGGTTCTTCTCCAGTCTGGCTCCGGTGCTCCATAGCACGAGAGGCAAAGAGGCTGAAGTTGTCCCTGGCCCGATTCTGCTCCGGTCTGGTTCTGGTGGCACTTCAAAGCATCAGAGCGTCTCCTCCAGGCAAGCACAGCGATTCCACGGAAGTGGACAGTCCTTCGTTAAAAGGTAACGGGCTGCTCACTGAGGCTGAGACCGGCTCTGTTAAAGACGAAGTCCCCCACAGCCAACTCTGTTCGGTTCTGGTCTAGTTTGGGGGACACAGGTACACTTCCCCCACACCAATGAAGACACCACGAGGGCCTGTCCAGCAGAAAACCAGCAAAATACCACCCAGCGATTCTTGTCAGAACCAGGTAGAACCGCAAAGGTCCAGATGAGAAGTTTGTTGGGGTCCAGAGAGAGGGAGAAAAAACACCGGACCTTCGTTTGATGACTCCCCAGTTCGAGGGGTCACCTGGCCAGCAGGGTGTGCTCAGTGTGACCAGTGGGGTGGGAGCGGCCCGTCCTGGACCAAAATATATATTTTTTTGGACAGTCCCGTCTGGCTCTCTGAGTCACTGAACACCAAATTTGGTTGGAAGAGGGACCAACTTTAGTCCGGTTTGAAAAACGGGTTAGTTTGATGGTAAAGGACTGCAGAGAAGCCGGAAGGAGCTGCCATCCATCAGTTTGCCGGAACCGGAAGTTTTATGTGATGTGTGTCCCATCAGTATATGAATGTGATCTAAAGCACTGATTAGTCTCTTTAGAATGATTTGTTCAATTAGCTTTGTAGGGATTTAGTAGAGTGCTGTATGAAAGGGTAAATGAGGGCACAGATTGTAGTGTAAAGTGCTTTGTATCTTGAAATAAGATAGAAAGGCGCTATATAAGTACAGTCCATTTACCATTTCTAAAAGGGGGACCGGAGTGTGTGCTCCAATTATAGGGGCATCACTCTTCTTAGCCTCCCTGTTAAGGTCTATTTAGGGGTACTGGAGAAGCAAGTTCGATCGTTGGTCGAACCTCATATCCAGGAGGAACAATTTGGGTTCCTTCCTGGCCATGGAACACTGGATCAACTCTTTACTCTCACTAGGGTCCTCGAGGGGTCATGGGAGTTTGCCCATCATGTGTTGTGTGGACTTGGAGAAAGCTTTCGACTGTGTTCCTTGGGGTACACTGTGTGGGGTGCTCCATGAGTATGGTATTGGGGACTCGTTGTTCTAGGCTGTTTGGTCCCTATACAAGCAGTGCAAGAGTTTGGTTCGCATTGCTGGTAGTAAGTCGGACCCCTTCAGGGTGGGAGTTGGACTCTTCCAGGGCTGCCCGTTGTCACCGATTCTGTTCACAACTTTTGTGTACAGAATTTCTTGGTGCTGCCAGGGGGCAGAGGGTTTCTGGTTCAGTGGCCTCAGGATTCCATCTCTGCTTTTTGCAGATGCTGTGGTCCTGTTGGCGTCATCGTGCCATGATCTTCAGCTCTCACTGGAGTGTGAAGCAGCTGGGATGAGAGTCAGCACTTCCAAATCTGAGGCCATGGTCCTCAACCGGAAAAGGGTGAATTGCTCTCTTCAGGTCGAGAGTGAGGTTCTGCCTCAAGTGGAGGAGTTCAAGTATCTTGGAGTTTTGTTCACAAGTGAGGGAAGAATGGAGCGTGAAATTGACAGACGGATTGGTGCAGCATTTGCAGCATTGCGGAATCTGTACCGGTCCGTTGTGTTGAAGAAAGAGCTGAGCTGTAAGGCAAAACTTTCTGTTTTCCAATCGGTCTACGTTCCTACCCTCACCTATGGTCACAAGCTCTGGGTAGTGACTGAAAGAATGAGATTGTGAATAAAGGTGGTTGAAATGAGTTTCCTCTGCAGAGTAGCTGGACTGTCCCTTAGAGATGGGGTGAGAAGTTCAGTTATCAGGAGAGACTCGGAGTAGAACTGCTGCTCCTCCACATCAAGAGGAGCCAGTTGAGGTGGTTCACTCATCTGGTAAGGATGCCCCCTGGGTGTCTCCCAAGGGAGGTGGTTCAGGCATGTTCAACTGGGAGGAGACCCTGGGAAAGACCCAGGACACGCTAGAGAGACTACAGCTATGTCTCGGTTGACCTGCAAATGCTCTGTCATCTCTGAGCTTCAGCCTAGTTTTAGGGACTGTCAGCAACAACTGATAAGCTGATCGTAGAGATTGGGGTGGGCAGTAAGGCTGAAGCAGCTCAGACAGATATAGTGGGGCAAGGTTGTTCAAGCATTTAGAAACGAACAGCAAAAGCTTAAAATGAATTCTGTAGTGCACAGGGAGCACTACAGAATTCAGGGAAAGAGATGTCTGGGCTTCCCTGCTCAAGCTGCTGCCCCCGAGACCTGACTTTGGAATAAGCAGAAGATAATGGATGTATGTATGGATGGATGGACTTTGTTAATGTGTGTCTATGATTGTGTGTTTTTGTAGGGTGTGCTAAGTAAAGCAGTGAACTGGACCGAGCTGGAGAAGCAATATGCCATTAATTCAGTGTATGAAGAGGAGATCATAAACTTGCTGGAGTACTGTGGGGTAAGTGTTGTTTCTTTAACTTTATTTTAAACAGCAAGGTTTTTTCTGATGTTCAACAGTAAAAAATATTTATAAAACACGGTTAACATTATAACAACTGTCAGCATGTAAAGAGCTGCACACAAAACAGAGAAAATAACAAGAAATCTTGAGACCATCAGAACAATAAAAAAGAAAAACGTCAAAGAAGAAAATAAAATTAAATTACAATAGTAGTAAAAAGAAGTAAAAAAAAAAAAGAATTTTTTTTTTTAATTAAAAAAATTATTGCTGTATTAAAATGCAGAGAGT